AGAAATATGTCTAGATTAAAGTCCATGCTAAGAAAAATTGTTGAATGTTATTACTATCACAATATATAAGACTTATACTAATATAGCCAAGTGTTGTATAAGAAGCTTGCTCTCTTGAATCTTTGACTTGATTGTAATTAGCTTCATTTCAGATATCATCAACCTGGATATACAATAAACAAAACACAAAATACTAGAAACACAATTAGTTGTAAATTGTTTGTTAAATCATCAAAACAAGATTAGAGAGTGAGCTCATAAACATGAGTCAATACACAGACGATGAATTTCTTGCATTCTGCAAGCAAGAAGGCATCAAAAGACAATTCAATACTGCTTATACTCCTCAAAAAAATAAAGTGGCGGAGCAGATGAACAGAACTCTGCTGGAAAGAACAAGAACTATGTTGGCAACTATAAATCTGGATAAAGTTTTTTGGGCGAAAGCAATAAAAAATCACATGTTATGTGGCAAATCGATCTCCAACAACTGCAATACAATTGAAGACACCGATGGAGATGTGGACTGGCAAGCCAGCTAATTATTCTAACCTCCATATACTTGGAAATCCAGTGTACGTAATGTACAATGCCCAAGAAATTACAAAGCTAGATTTAAAATCCAGAAAATACATATTCTTGGGGTATGCTGATGGAGTAAAGGGGTATCATCTATGAGATCCCATTGCCAGTAAGGTTATCATCAGCATAGATGTTATCTTTATAGAAAATCAACTGCAAAGTGAAGGAAAAGAAAGCAGTTCTAGGAAGGACTTAGAGACTGTAGCTGTTCAGGTAGAAAATGATCTAATTTCTTCTGAAGCAACACCAGAGCATGATGTACAAGAATCGGTCGAGTCTGAGGCTCCAGAAGTTCGAAGGTCAACTTGTGAGAGAAGCCCACTAACTTGGCACTCGGAGTATATTGCGGAGAGTAATGTTGCATAATTTCTTCTAACAGAGGATGAAGAGCCATCAACTTTTAATAAAGTTGTAAATAACACAGATGCATATTTGTGTATGGCAACAATGTAGGAAGAAATTAAAGCTCCCCATAAGAATAAGACTTGGGCACTTGTGTCACTGTCACAAGGAAGAAAGACCATTGGAAATAAATGGGTCTAAAAGATCAAGCGAAATGGTGATGATCAAGTGGAACGATATCGTGCTAGATTGGTGGTAAAATGATATGCTCAGAAAGAACGTATTGACTTTAATAAAATATTTTTTCCTATAGTTCAACTTACAACAGTCCGAATAGTCCTGGCTATGAGCGTTATATTTGACTTACATCTAGAGCAGGAAGATGTAAAAACAACACTTCTTCATTAAGATATTGAAGAAGAAATTTACATGTTCTAACCCGAAGGTTTTAAAGAAAAAGGAAGAGAGAACTTGGTTTGCATATTGAAAAAATCTCTGTACGGTCTAAAGCAGATGCCGAACTATTGGTATAAGAGATTTGATTCATTCATCATGAGCCTTGGATACAACAGACTTAATTCAGATCCTTATGCATATTTTAAGAGGTTTGGTGAAAATAACTTTGTTATCTTATTGTTGTTTGTTGACGACATGTTGGTTGCAAGCCTAACAAAGATCGTATCAAAGAATTAAAGGCTCAGTTGGCTAGGGAATTTGAAATAAAAGATTTAGGATTTGCAAATAAGATTCTAAGGATGCAAATTTACCGAGACAGCATACTTCTATGGATTTTGACATAATTATTATATCTAGTTGAATAATTACAACCTTAACATGTTCATGTTTGTCAAAATCATTATGAAAACCATTAAATCTCTACAAAAACTTAGATTTAAATTTATTTCATATCTGAAATACAAATCAAAGAACTCGTTTCTTACTTTTTAAAATAAAAAGATTGAATCTTTGTATCATATACTTTAAAAGAACTATCTTTATACTTAAACTAGGTTTTAAGGTCCAATAAAACCAAATAAAACTCATTAAAAATCAATTAAAAATAGGGATGAGATTAGAAGAGATGAAACTCGCCTGAAATCTCTGCTGCAAAGATCCAAAAGTACAAACAAACCGTTCTCCATTGCCACACGTCGATGATCTCACCCTCGTGTCGGTATTTTGCTTCACAATGCTCTCAAAATTCACAAGAATTTGATTTAGGGTTTTTGAAGGGAGACGGTGTCTGCTAGGGTTTAGAAATATGATAGAAAAAGATAATTTTCATAAAAAACACAGGTACTTACAGAGGCAAACCCGAAACAAACTCGTTTGACCAGAACCAGGAAAGCTAGTCTGACTTGGAAAATAGTCTTTGGTATTTTAGCTGTAACTCTCCCATCTAACCTCGGAATGAGGTAATTTAAGATGTGTTGGAAAGATATGGAAGATACCTACATTTTTTGTATTTTGATTTTTTTTCAGATTCGAACTGCATCAGTGTGTAATGCACATATACTCTTAACTAGTCGTTTTTCCATATTTGAATTGCATCAGTGTATAATGCATATATACTCTTAATTGGTCTCAAATAAATTACTATCATGCTCCATCATCATTTATTAATATTTATTATAATAAAACTCATTTATCACTATTAATCACATTATTTTCAAATTTTATGGGGTTTTACAATTTTAGTGCTTTTTGATCTTGTTGTCCTTTTTGACTAATACCCTGTGGCTGCTGCTGAGGTCCTCTAGGTCATGTAAATGATCTCTTACCCTTGCCTTTCTTCCCAAACTATCCTGACTTAGAGCTTTCCTCTTACTCTGTGGCTCTATTAACAGTTGATGGTGGTGTAACTGTTGGTGATGCCTCTAAAATAGGCACAACTGGCATGGGAGGTGGTGTTATCGACGGAACTTGATTTGTCATTTTTTTCCTCTGGTGCTGCTAGTCTAACTACTATCGTCGCTATGATATCAATCAAATACTGAGGAGTCTGTTGCGGCTCAGGCTATAGCTCACATTGCCCACCTCGTCCTGACATCTATAATTTCAGGAGGAGAGATTATTAGACACAGTAAAGGAGATCTCAAGCATATATAACATAATATATAACACTAGAAAAATATATCACATAGTTTCACCCAAAATACTTTGTAATCAAAATGGGGTAGTCATAAAAAAAATTCTCGAAATTTTCGATTTACGCGTATTACATCCTCACTCAATCTAGGAACTCCTAGTGGATTCTATACATGAACCCTAGGAAACTCTATCCTACCTCCACAACTTGACACATGAATATCCTAAAGATGCTGGAACTAGAGCTTTGATACCAAATGTGGCAATATTATATAATTCAATTAATCTTAGATAGTTATGAATCTATGATTTAGTTAATATTATATAAAACCCACATGTTAGTTTTACATTTTTTTATTCAAATAAAAAAATCATGATAACAAAGTTATATTGAATTTTTTGGATCTACATAAAACCCTTAAATTTGACCAAAAATGCTAATTTTGTAACAAAACATTAATTTTCCAATTAAAATTCATAAATTTTCATTAAAGTTCCTAAGTTTCAAAGCAAAATCCATATGTTTATCAATATTTTAACAAAAAATTCAATTCTACAAGAAAAGGTTAAAAAATGCAAACAAATTAGGGTTACACGCTAGTATGAAGGGCAGTGATCTAACACCGATAAACAAACGTTAATAGTAGTGGTGAACAAGGACATGCACCAAGAACCTGTGATGTTGATCACCACCTTACATTAGAGGATAATATATATACTAGCTCAGCTAATTAATTAATGTTGCAATTAAAAAAGCATAATCTCATTAATTAATTTGCTCCTTGAATGCATATAGATATTTCAATAATACAACTACTATGTGGTGCCCTTGATTTCACACAAGGTTGTAGTCAAAAAGAACCCAAGAATGTCAAACCTGTCATGCACCCACACTGTGCAACAACACGTTTCATCATCACAATAATATCTCTCTAGTGGAGTCAAATAATAAACAAGTGTAGGTACAAAGCAGATAAAATGAAGATAATAATACAATGAACATGATATAGAGAAGAGACATCCAAAAATAGACATAATCATGCTCCAACTAAATAAAAGAGAGTACAGCTGATAAACTAAAGTAAAAGTGAAATATCTCAATACATAAGAGTCAACTGAAATAGTACTAAGGCAATCAGCCTTTCAAAATGAAATACATCTCTAACATCTGAAATAAATAATAACTACTGTGGAGCACTAAGTAAACTACTAATGATAAATAACTGATGATGAGCTAAACTGAGTCTCCATCTACCTGCGACTTTCTGTACGCTTGACTCGCTGTCATAAAAGAAGAGAAACAACGAGCATCAAAGCGCTAGCAAGATCATCTCCACTGCCCCCAGGGGGAGGGGGTTAGGAGTATATAAAAATACAAGTTAGTACATATAGATATATGAATCATTTATCCTGAACTAAGAGGAAATTGATATTTAAAAATCCACAACACGAGAATGGGTACGTCGAGCAAAATAATCTAAATAAGAAAACCCTCATGTATATACCTCGTATCTCAAATTGTGAATCGCTAAATACCAACTCCAAAACCTATAAATAAAACAATAAATAAAAAGACAATACATTATCAAACCTCATCCAATACAAGTCATGTCAAAATATCTTACACTACCCTCGGGTAGGCTGTGCAATCACAAGAATAATAATCTGATAAGAGGTTCTTATAATATATGACGTGTATGACAACAACAGTCTTATACACTACTCTCAGAGTAAATAACATGAGAGTATGCAAGAAAATTTGTATGATCCTCTAACAGAAAAATTTGTACTATGCTGAGTAAGGCGCTCACAATATCTTGTGGCATCGCCTACGTTACTCAATGAAAATAATGATGCACATATAAATATCTTAAAAGTTGAACTGTAATAAGTTCCTTTGTGCCAAAATGTAAGCGTTGGAGAGTCCTCATTACTAACAAATGAAAATCGAGAGAATCTAATTTTGATCATGAAAATACATTGGAACTAAATGAATGTCGCTTTACATTGTAATTTAATTCATGTTGAGTTTGCTTTTTTCTATTATTCCTCTCAGATCATGTATATACGCCTCTCAACATACACAGTTCCTTTGTTCACATCCTTGCTGAGACTCTGTCCGGAACAAGTTGACCATCAAAGCAATTATTTGGAGTTCCTTTGAAATCATATTTAGCAAGTATTCGAGATAGTAACTTTGACGAAAAGCACAGGACTGGACAGTGATTACAAAATGAGTTTATGACAATGGCCAAAAAGATAAAAATTGAGCTCTGCTTCCCACCTCTTCCTCTCTCTTTTTCCCATCTTGGAATTCAGCCTTAGCTCTTAGCCGGGCCAGAATTGCCTGAAAAAGTAAATTAATTTTGCATTATGTCTAATTTGTTTAGTTGTTTGCACAAACTAAGAGCAGTTAATATGGATTATTATCTAAACCTACCATTTTCCCCCTCTTGTCGTGCTCCCTCAATTGCTCTCTCCTCCGTCTCCCTTCTCACCTATTCAATTTCAGTCTAGGTTGGACCAAAATAAATACATGTAAATAGAGAGAAGTTTCCAACCAAAATTTGAAATCACTATATTATAATCCTAATAGCTTTCTATAAGGCTTTGTTCTAAGTGAGAACACGCAGGTTTCTGTTATTTTGTACCGACGTATCAGCCTTGCTGCCGGGTGATTCCTCTTTACACTCTGTACTCGAATCATCTCCTCCATTGTTATTAACTTGACCTCGCTTTCCAATCCGTGGCATCTTCCGTTGCCTCCGTTGATCATCTTCATATCGGGTTCGGAGGGCTGAGGGAGCCGGGAAAGACCCGAATCCTTATCCTTCTGGAGAAATTTGACTTAGGCTTCTTAACCCCTCATTGTCGGACTCCAGGGATTGGATCTTTGACCGGAGCTCGTTAATGTAGGAGATTGCGTCTCTGAGGAGAGAAGCTTTGTCCATTTTTGAGATATTGGGGATGACTGCTCGCAGGGTGTAGAATCTCTGGTTCAGCTTCTCTCGCTGCTGACGATCTGCTTCGACGTGATTGAAGGGCTCCTCACTCCTTCCCTTTCTCAGTCTCCGTCTCTATCTCTCCCTCACTCCCTTTCTCAGTCTCTATCTCTCCCTTTCTCAGTCCCTGTCTCTAGCTCTCCTTCAGTCTCTATCTCTCCCTCCCTCCCTTTCTCAGTCCCTATCTCTCCCTCCCTCCCACCCCCCTCTCTCCCTCTATCTCTCCACTTTTCTTTCCCACCTCTCTTTCTGTGACGCCCTAAGGTTCACACAAGGCTGCAGTCCAAGGTGAATCCCAGATTATCAAACCTGCCATGCACCAACACCGTGCAACAACATGTTTTACCATCACAACTACCATCTTTCTAGTGGAATCAACAAACAGGTGAATGTACAAAACATGCAAAGAAATTTGAAGTAGTACAATGAATAGAATATGCACAGAAGAAGTATATAAATAATCACCATAAGGGCCGAACTGAAACAAAATAAAATATCTCTGAACTGGAATAACTGTAATATGTCTTATCACAAAAGTCAAATAAAATCTCACTAAGTCACTCAGCCTTTACAAAACAAAAATACAAACTACTCTAATGTCTGAAAACTAAACAACTACTGTGGAGCTATGTAAAAACGACTAATACGATAAAGTAACTGGAGCCTAAGATGTAACTCTATCAACCTGCGACTCTCTGTGCGTTGGACTCGTTGCATGAAAAGGGGGAAAACAACGAGCGTAAAAGCACTAGCGAGATCATCTCCATCGCCCCCAGGGGAAAGGGGTAGGAGTATATAAGAAAATACTGTTAGTACATATAGATATAAAATCATTCATATAACTCTTAGTAAAAATTGGTATTTAGAAACCCACAACACGAGAATTAGTACGTCGAGCGAACTAATCCAAACAAGAAAACCCTCATGTAAATACCATGTCTCAAATTGTGAATCCCTAAATACCAATTTCAATCCTATGAATGAAAACAGTACATAAAAGAAAATACCACAACTCCAAACCTCAACCATAAAGAGCCAATGTCACAATCTTGAACTACCCTCGGGTAGTTGGCATAGTCATAAAGAAATATCATCCAGCTTAAACATCACCCTAGGCCATACAATGTATGTTAAGTATCTGATATGTACCCTACTCTCGGGTAATCTAACATGGGAGCAAACTATAATTGTGTACATATATGTCTTCATGAAATAATGATACTTTTGTAAGGTTCTCATAATATCATGTGGATTCAACATCCTTACTCAATCGTTCTGCGGCAATAGGTATATCTCCCTATTCCAGATGATGCATCCAAATGATCGTACAGCGAAATATAAGCATATCAGCCCAACCCAAAAAAACCTCGATCATCATTGAGTATTGGTACCTTCGAGTATTGGTACCTTCGCGGTCTCATTGCGGGGCAAAACATCCAATACTCCTAGTGTGGTACAGCCGCAGTCTCATTGCGGGAAAAACATCCACACCGTACATCCACAACTGATGAATTATGCATTGTTATGTGTTATACTAACAACTACCAACTTAGATATGTGTTACGCATCTCAACTATGCATATAAACTCAACTAAGAACATAAATTAAGTGTTCGTGCACGTATCTCGATGTACGGATCAATATCTCGTGTTCACAAACACCTCAGGTGTTTAACAGATCATAAACATCATAGAACAATGCAGGTCAATCGAGAAAACCCCTCGATCAAACACAAATTTCACAAAAACATGCATGTGCACTAACAGGCGGCGCGGTCGACCGGCGCCTACGCCGTGGTCGACCGGCCAATGACAGAAACTCTGTTCTGCCAAGTTCAACACAGTTTCGGGTTTTTCGTTTCTAACTCATACAATTCGTTGTAAAGCATGTAAATTATGTTCTGAAAACTTGTTTAACATTATTAGAGTTCATCTAACCACATGAAATAAAATCTAACAATTTAGATATGTTAATTAAACCCTAAACATGCTCACATTCATCAAAACGTTATGAAAACACCAAATCATAGTTTACACTCATGTTTAAAATGTTTTCAGATACAAAATATTCTCAGGAAATTCGTTGGTGATCTTTTATAAACAAAAGATTAAGCCTTTATTCCATATACTATGAAAGAAATTCTCTTTATACACAAAATAGTGGATTAGGCTCATAAAACCAAAACAAAAAAAAAAAACTTATTTAAAATCCTTTAAAACATGGGTAAATGGTTAGGAGAGATGAAACTCACCTGAAACTCTACTGCAAGGATGCTAAATGTGCAACACAACTCAGATTTAGCCACATGCCAACGATCTCGCCCTCACGTTGAAATTTGCTTCACAAGGCACTTGAACTCACAAGAGTTGTATCTAGGGTTTTGAGGGGAGCTGGGAGCTACTAGGGTTTAGAGAGATGAATGAAAGATGTGAAAAGTTCGTGAAAAAGGTAAAAAAATACCCAAAACCTACTCAAACTGGGATTCTGGAAAATCCCACGGCGGTCGTGTTAGATATAGGTGCCCTGCGGGTAATAATTGTATATTGTAACAGGACTTATATGAATATAATATCCTTGTTCAAAATGATAATATGCTATTTTGGTCAGATTTATCTGGTATTTTAATACAGATAAAGTCTTTAGAATGATACTAGACTATCAGACATTTCGGATATGATCGTAATGAAGAGATCTGATTTGTCGCTAACCTATATTCTAAAATATTCCTAGTCGATGAAGTGTTGAAATGGGACATCATCACTTTGGAAAGACTAGTGTATACTCTATTCCTCCTTTGGTAGGATGATGATCCATCTCTTAGATCATTGATGTGAGACATCAAGATATAGTATACAGGTGACTCATTAGTGAATGAGTTGACTGAATGACTCACTGAGAATATCTAGTTGGTAATTATACTTAACTGTCAAATAGAAGTTCTCAAGTGATATAGTACAAAGTAGTCTTTTGACCTAAAACATGAGTGCAATATCTTACATGTCAGTATAGGTGTACTTAGACTTTTACCTAACCACAGTTCTCATTGAGTTGTGCATAACGGTTCTTGCTGGGTGCATCCCGAGATATAAGTAGATATTAAGATGCCAAGATGGGATTCGTCTCTCCCAGTATAAGGGGTTGATGTCATAAGATTGTTTTATATAACTATAACAAAGAAATCCTTGGCCGAGGTAAATAAGATAAACTGAGTGTCAGTTTGATCTGATAGGTTATGAGTTTAATATCAACAAACACTAATCGAGCTATTAGGGTTTGACCGTTTCCCATACCCTAGGCTCGATAGTTTGACATGGTTTGACAAAGAGACCGGACTGTATGGTATTATCACTGAGTAGTCCTGATAAAATTGTGTAAGCATCTTGTAGATATTTATCACAACTTATACCCGGGTAGTCTTCATGTGTAGCTAGCACCTCTGTTGTACTTGTGGATATGATCCACTGCCGAGTCTTAAGTTGGGCCCTATAGTCACACCAAGCGCATATACTTGAATCCTATGAAATACAATTTATAGAGTTAATGCGTATGATTAATACGCATATATGATTTTACCGGATACACATAAACAATTATGTATATCGGTAAAATCGGAATGCTATGTGCTTAGGAAATGAATTCTAGTATTTTTCTCATAAAGTTAACTTTTAGTCAACTAGTTGACTTTTTGGTTAACAGTTGACTTTTGGTCAACTCGTTGACTTTTTGGTCATATGATGACTTATTAGTCAATGATTGAAAAAATATGAAATACCGTATTTATGAAATGACGTATTGATGTGGTATTTTTATTTATAAAATACATACTTCATTGTACCTTGATTAATGAGTCATGAGATGAGTCATTAAGGTGGTATAGTTTGGGAACATGGTTTTAGCACATAGTTTTAATTCTGCATGACTCATGAGATGAGTCATTGCATAACTCTTGAAAGGAATCATTACATTTAGATGACTCATGGCATGACTCATGAGATGAGCCATGACATATGTAGGGTGTAAATTTGATTTCCCGAAAATAGGGAGTTTCGTTTGTATTGATAAGAAAGCTTATTACAAACTAATAATCAAATGTTTACAACAGATTTAGGTGGCTATAGGACGCTTCGCTCGATGCTTGTGTCGAGTCTGCTTCCCTTGGACCGTTTGATCGAGGTTGCTGGAGAGCTTCAGTACGCAGTAGAAGCTCGAGTCGATGGAGTTCGGGTCTGCTTAGTTCGCCGGCGATCGGAGCTCATAACTAGGCAGCGGTGCTGTAATGCAAGGATTATGCGAACAGCTTGGTCTCAACTGTTTTTCTCCAAGTTTTTCGACCTCTCTCAAAGTTTGTTGGAAGAGGCTTTTAAATGGAAGAAGGACAGCTTGACTGCTCCTTGAATTATGGGATGTGACCATACATTGTTCGGAGATATCCTGCTGCCCATTCGTACCACCAGTGGTCATTCGAAGAGCTGTGCTCTGCGTCACGTCACGTAGGAGTGGGAAAGCCCCTCCTCGTATGTGTGACAACGGTTGTCGGATGCTTGCGTGGATCTGACCAACCACCGAGCGCCGGGCTCTTTCCAGGCTGCTTTGACATCTGTCTGCTCACTCGTACTGTGGGCGGCTGTTCGGCGGGCCAGGAGTGTCGTGCCTTCTCTCTTTAGGTCAAGAGAGGCGGGAAAGCATGTTCCTGGCACTCGAGTGGGTTTGGACAGCTCGCCGAATGCTGGCGGATTCATCTCCTGACTCAGACAGCCGAGGTGAGTTGCATTTATGAATGCTCAGGTCGACCCGACACCTGTCCAGTCTTTCGCACTGCGAGCGGCCGCTTGACAGTCTTGGAGTGTTGTGCCCTCTCTCTTTGGGTCGAGATAGGAGGGAAAGCCCATCGCAGCACGTGGGGTAACAGATATCTGGCCATATTGGCGGCCTTGGGGTTTGCGGCGAGTCGATTATTCAGGCGAATCTGTAACCGAGCACGTTTGACGACCATGTGGCTTAGGCAGGCGACTTCTTGTGGGCGAATTTCCTGTAGAAGCTCACAGAGGTATATTTTACCGTCTACAAGACCCCCTTCAAAGTTTTCAG